TTTTGAGCAAGCCGAGCCACTGCACCCTGCTAGTGTATCTCTCTCTTTAACTGGATTTCACAAGATACACAAGTTCCTACAGCAGCAGCTTTCATGCTTGTTGAAAAGTACTCCTTGGCCGTATACCAAGTCCAGGACGGCCGCCCCCCTGATATCAGCAACGGTACTCTTCACTGGGACGGTGCTGAGGTTGCGAGACAGCGAGACGGTTAATAACAGTTTGAAAATGTCCGGCCCACAGTACAGAACCCAAGGGAAGCAGTATAAGCTAAGAGGAAATGAAACCAAGTCAAGGCCATGATGGAGACCAGCAGTCAATATTCGTAGCTGAGCTGGACTGGAAGTACCCGAGGTTGGAGTCTCACTAGGGTGGGCGAGTATATAGACACTTACTTCCGCAATTCACCTTTCGACCATGGACAACACGGCAGCCTACAACCCTCCCCCAAAGCGTGCCAAAGGCTTTCAATAGCTCCAGGCGCCCGGTAGCTAAGGCACTCACCACACAAAACTTCCTCCCAGGTGACAGGAGGCTGATCACGACTCCTAACAAGATTGGATTCGTGTCGATGGATCGATACAATCTGGTACGAGGCCGGTGTTTTTGACGACACATCATGATGGCCCTGGAAGGAATTCGCTTTCAAAATAATGAGCCTCGAGGTGGAACGGAAAAGGCGATAACACATCACTGGTCGGGGAGGTCTGCCATTCAAAGGCCATGGCACGGCGCAGATGTGAGACGGGAGAGAGGAAGGGGCTGGCAGGAGACAGGATCATGTTCAGGTCTCGGTGGAATCTCGGAAATGGATCCGGATGACTTCAGGTATCTCAGAAAGAAGGCCACGAGCACGCTTTCCTCAAGCCTTTGCAACTAAGTAAGGTAGGGTTGATGCCCATGGTTTCCGACGTTGTTAAAAAATTGACCACAAGAGGGAAGGAATGTTGCAATGCCCAAATGGGAGACCTAATCAAACTTCCCTTCTTGTAATTCTGGCCAGGTGTGGTGCGATGAATCCAGGCTTCGAATTGAATGTTTTGGGCAACTACTCGATGTCTCCTGCCTTTAAGTTGACGATGTTTGGTGCGCGGTGTATCTTACCTGACAAAACAAACTTGTGTAATTTACCCTCGGAGAAATTGTTAGTGTAGAATCGACGTGCTTTACATCACTTGCATCAACCTGTCTCTCAAGCTTCTTTTTGTGACGAACAATCTGTTATCCTTTCAGACCGCGCCTGCTAGATCAAAGAAGTGACAAACGATGCTTTTGAATCTCTGAAACAGCCTCCGGTGAATGCCAGGGCAGGGAAGGACCTTCACAATGGGACCCACCCAATCTTTCATCCGGCCCGTCAGCTACGGATACGACAATGGAACGAACAGAAAATTCCAAAATTTCGCCGGGTCCAACTCAACTTGACAAACTTCGCGCCCGCAACGTCATTCGGAGGCCGACATCTTCTTGGATCATCAAAAACCCCAACCCTGACTTCTGCAGGATCTGAATGGACTTGCCGATGAAATGACCTCTGAGCAGGTCCCGCCCCCATTGGCGGCCGCTCGCACTCACTCACCCCGGTCCAGCCATGACCTCGTCACCGTCATCTTCACCAGCTCGCCAACACCCTCGGCACCCTCAACCGAACTGTTGTCATCCATTATCTCCTCTTTCCAGAAATATTGCGCTCCCCTGACCAGGTGCAGGGTCATCTTGGTTCTCGACACCTACGACCGTATTGCTGGTGACTCCCGGCTCAAGAAAGGGACTGTCACTGCCGAGGGGGCCAAAAAGTTCGCCGAGTACAAGGAGAACGCCAAGAAACTCATTCTCGACGAGTATTCGCGGAGCTATGGCGGGGCTGAGCATGCCTGCTACAACGACGAGCTCATCATCACCGAGGGAGAGGCCGAGTTCGGCTCAGTGGCCTATGCGCAACAGCACAACGCCGTGACCCTTACCATCACCAGAACCAAAGATGGGCGCATCACTTTCATTGAGCCTCATGCGCGGGTTGGATTTGGGCTGGGCGTGCGCTCGGCCCTACGGCTTACCGAGACGCCCTACGTTTGGATCCAGCAGCATGACTGGGCGCTCGTTGCCGACATCCCCTTGGCACCTCTTCTCGAGATCATGCAGCAGTCCGAGTCTGCACCGGAGTCTGCTGATTCCTCTGATTCCGAAACGACGGATGGACAAGAGCCTCGAACGACCTCAGACGTACCGGTCAAGTATGTCTGCTTTCCTTCGACTCGGATGGTGTCCTACGCCAAGTCGGACCATGTTATGCTCTACCCGGCACTCCGAGCCTTGACGAACCTGTACAAGCAGAACTTCTCGGTGGGAATCGGGAGTACGAGTGTTAAAATCCCTCTTACGCCGCTCTTTTTCTGGCACGACAAGCCACACCTGGCCTCGACGGCACATTACCTATCCCAAATCTTTCCCAGCCGCGCTGCCATGTTGAGGGGCGCCTTCATCGAGGACACAGCTGGTCAACGAGCGAGGACGGAGATGAAAGACGGGCTATGGAGGAAGTGGGCTTGCTGGCTGTACTACCCTGAGGAGGGAACAAAGCTGTGTGTGCGACACCTTAAGGGGAGAACGTGGCGGGGAACGGATGGCGAGTTGGTGCAAAGGATGCAGTACATGCGACTCAACTCATACAATGCCTAGCCCGATGCACATGCGTGGTCTCGACAAGGGCCAGAACGAAGCCAGACGACGGACATGACTGTCGTCTGTTCATCCTATCCTATCAGGTCTTCAAACATACGATTGCAGTTGCTGCCATACAATATCTCGGTGTTTGGAATAGCAGACATCAATAGCAGGATATCAATATCTACACATCTTTAGACATGCCTCACCACATAGCACTGCCCCCGTGGCCTCTACAACACTCGCTTCGCGATCGGCTTCCAGTCCTTGATATCCTTATCAGTAGGGACCAACCACACAACACCGCCAATCCAACCATCTCCCTCAACGTTGCCTTCCGGCTCAGTCAGTTTGACACCGCCCTCCTCCACGACTTTGGCTATCTCCTTCAACCTGTCATCACTAATCGGCACATCCCCACTGCAGCCCTGCGCTTAGTACATCACCGCCAACACGAAACGAGGGAGGAAAAACATGGGCTAAAAACTTACTACATCAAGCTAACGTGGGGTCCAAACTCCTTCCTCCACCACTCCAACCACTCTTGTGTCTTCGCACCATTCGCATCCTCCTCGCCGTTCACTCCCCTCGCCCTCGCCAGCCCGACAATCTTCTTGATCCCCTCATCCAGCTTAACCTTTGCATAGCACCTCCGGTAGTAGGTGTCCTGAGAGTTGATGCCGTCGAACCGCACCTTAACCTCGTCAGTAGACGGCCACGGGATCGAATCAAGCCAGCGCTGGGGATTGTCGCCGTAAAGATCCGGGGAGATGCCGGAGCTGAGGGTCATGTGGGGAGCAAAGAACTCAGGAGTCAGGCGTGCGTCCGCAGCACCAGCCTCCGAGGGAAAGTCGGAGGGGAGGCGCTGAGAGATAAGGAAGGAGAGGATGGGGTAGAGGGGGTGAGAGGGAGGAGGGGTTAACCAGAGCGAGGAGCCGGGCATTCTGGGAGAGTAATATAAGAGAATCAAAATCTGACAGTCGGTTGTCGTTGCTCATGAGAGTTTCGGTGATGGTGTTAAATCCGTGATGCCTTGTGTTTCGATGACTGGTTGGCGATGATTTGACGGATCATGTCCTGGAGAAGGAGGAAACCCACTGTTTCCGAACGATGACGCCTGGACATCCATTGATCTTGGCAAAAGTGGGGAAATCTTATGTTGCACCGCAAGCAAACCCTAACCCATGAACTCACAAGGATCATTTGCTTACATTATGATCTTACCCCTGACAAAGCCATTCTGCAAACATGGGTCATCGCTCCAGGACACACGTGGAAGCATGGTAGGATATGGCAGTCATCAGGGTTCATCGAGGAAACGTTGGATTCGTTCACAACGCAAGAAAACGAGTGATACGTCCTTTGAACCCCCGTCATTCTTTGACATGGGCCCGAGCCTACCTGACGTGGACAATGAGGACTTTCTTCGACTCCGCTGCAAATACTAAAACCAGCCTCTCAAAGGAATTGCAGTTGCGAGCTAACATGACCTTTTACGGCAGGCTTCCAGAAATCATCGGACACAAAGAAGCCTTTACACACCCGCATTCTTTATCTTTGTTAAAGGGGGCAACGATGAGCCAACAGCTCTACTGTTCACTCGCCCGTATGGAACAATGGCTTTCTAGAAGCATTGCCTTTACTCATATAGGTGACTGTATCCTCAACATCCACTGGGCGAGTTTGATCTGTTCAGAGTTTATCCAGCATACCCTAGTAATCGATCACGAAAGTCATGTTGAACCTGATTTGGCCCGAAGATGAATCATCGGATCACCCTTCTTGGGCCGATTCATCAAATATGTTGGAGACAGTCTTACACCATCCGAACAAGATGCATATGAAAATAAATTTCTCCCGACATGGAACCCAGACAGGGCATAGAAGAAGTTTTCCTCATCTCCTTAGGGTCGCACACCGAACGAAACGCTCACTCGTTCTATCTGCTTCAACCTCAAACCCAAGATCTTCAAAGAGCAGAACACAATTACAAGCTTTCAATTACGTCCCACCAATTCCGGTATCCTCAACACGAGAAATGACAGAATCCTCACCAGAGACACCATTACTCCCCAAAATCCCCTGCACCTGCCCCCGGGGCTCCGAGTGTTCCCTCCGCTGCTACGCCCTTCTTCCCGACATTCGGCCTTACTACTCTTCAGATTTAGATTCCTCCCAACAGTTACAGAACTACCGCCTCCGTCTCAAACAGCGCATCCGCACAGCTTTCGACCATCTACACTCCCTTTTCCAATCATTTATATCTTCTTCTGATAATTCTTCTACTACTACTTCTTCCACTTCTTCTCCCAGCATAAGCCCAAGCCCAGACCGAGATGCTGCTGCTGCTGCTGCTGCTGCTGCTCGCCATCTCCGTCCCAGTTCATATTTGAAAAAGTGGAACTCATCAACAGAAGGGCAAGATAGTAGCATCTCCTCTACCTCCACCTCCACCTCTGCCTCCTCTGACGTTGATATCCCAACCCCAAACCTCGTGCTGCAATGTCTTCAAACCCTCGTCGACCGCTCCCGCAACAGGAACCAGCGATTGAATACCCAGTTAGCCGAAGCGACTGCCGAAGATATGGAGCCCTTACCGATATCACTCTTTGAACTGAGGGCCAGAGTCTTGTTCGATACACTAATAACCGATTACGAGTTCTTCCTGATGGATCTGGTTCCTTATTACAGAGAGGACTGGCTGGTGGAGGGGAGAGGTAGGTGTTTGATGGCGGAGTTTGTGGGGGAGATTACGAGGACGGAGAAGAAATTGGGGAGGTGGATCGGGAATATACTCTAGTCCGATACTAGGTGCTCTGGGAAAACGCAAGCCAGGGACTTGGAGGGCGGAGTGTACAGCATCGTCACAAGTTTATACGTTATACAAACAAAAGGCAGTGAGTTCAATATCTGTCACAATACATTGTAATCAATGAATTTAAAGAGATAGAACGCATTATACCATGAAGAGAGAGAATTGGATTTGAGCACGAAAAGTCCACTGCTAAGTCTACTGACCCTCTCCCAAGTCCAAGCTCCTGACCCAATGCGCTCTATACCTGACGCTCTATACCTGAGGCTATTCGCTTTTGTCTAGAGGTATGACAAGTCCAACAGCCTCCATACAACTTTCCCCATCCGTCCTCCTCCTTCTTCTTCTTCCCGTCAAAGTGTCGTTGTTGCAAAACCCGGTTGAAGACATGGTGAATTGGTGAACGAAGAAGGAAAAGAATTCTCCTCGCCATGTCCCCTTTCCGAAACCCCCCTCAGCCTTCTGATGCGGCAGAAAGATTTTTTTGATAAACCCTTTTTTTTTTTTTTTTTTTTTGGGATTGTTTTCTCTGTATCAGACCGTGTTCTCTTCGAGGAAGACCTGAGCGTTGAGATAGGGAATCTTGGGGTTAGTGGAATTGCAGAACATCTCGCCCTCGAACGGCCGGTTGGGAGAAAATTACTGTTTTTGTCGATTAAGGATCGGACAATCTCGAGTAAGACCTGAACGTTGAAATGGGGAATCTTGGGGTTGGTGGACTTGTAGAACACCTCGCCCTCGACGGGAGGTTAGCAAAACGTAAGACTGCTCGGTTGTTCCTGCCTCCTGCTCAGAACGGCACCATATTGGCCTAGTCAGGCCACCATGGGGGTCGGTATCCATGCTGTCGCCGCCAGCACCAGGGTTGAGGTATTTGACGAAGCTTCAGACCGAGAGGACGTCCGCCGTACTGGTAACCCTGGAACTTCTGGATCGCGACTGGCTGCTTCACCGAGAACCTTACTCGCGTGAGGCCGAGGAAGCGCTCCAGGAGCATCGAGAGTTCGTTATCGTTCGACGACGACTACGTAACCGATGGTGACTGCCTCATGTCTGAGGGTACCAGCGCTCGCAAGAGAGATGGGGTTGATAACTGGCATACAGATACGAGTTTTATAGATTTTGAAGAGATCGGTAACCAAGGAGTTGAAGTTGATGTATGGGTCGGCGAAGTAGTAGAAGGTCAGCTTCTTCCAGTCCCTACAGGTAGGTTGGGCACGGGCTCAGCCACTTCAAGGATATCATGTAATACGCCGATACCGCCAAGATATTCCTTGAGCATAAGCATGTTGTTCAGCTCCTGTTCGGCTTTGGCAAGCTCCGCGTGGGTTGGTAGGGCCGGGCCTCAATTCGCACTCCCACTCCGATCTTGTATAACCCGCACCCACATACCCCAACAAGCGTAGAGGTACTCCCAAGAAGACATTCCAGAGGCTGACGAGGGTTTGGTTGCTGCTGGTTGCCGACTTCATTGGTAAACAACTCCTCGACTGCTTCATATCGTTCTGTGATTTCTTCCTTGTCGGTGCTCGGCTGCAGGTCGCACTCCACTTTGATCTTGTCTAATACCCACATACCCCAACAAGCGTAGTCGTAGGTACTCCCAAGAAGACCTTCTTCCAGAGGAATACCAAACAGCGTCAACATCTCTCCAGTAGATTGTCGTGTGTTTTGTAGCAGCTCCAACGAGGCAGCAAGTAGGTAGTGCTATTCCCATGGTGTTGTGTGCTTGCCTGGATGCACCCAGCCTGATTCGAATGGAATTGCTGACAAAATGGATGTTTAGAGCATTCTGTAGATACTTCATAGCAGTGGAAAAGGCACTACCATGGAGTGTAGTAGTCCTCGTGAAGGTCTGACTCATAACAGAGTGATCATGTTCAAGCTGTTTTCGTCGATTAAGGATCGGTCAATCTCGTTCTTGATGTCGGTGGAAATAATTTCAACCTTAACCCGGCTCGTTGTGTGCTCTGCAGAATCTCCAGGCGTTGGCCAGAGGGCATCATCTACAAACTGAGTGGCAATGTGACCGTGGTCGGCTTCACGCTTTGGTTCTCGGACGGTAGGGTAGATCTTGTCGCGGTGAAGATCATGAGTGACCTCACGGTGGGCGCAACAGCTGGGGTTGCCCTTGAACAAGACTTCCTCAGAAGGAAGCCTCCGAAGATTCGGCCCAGTGTCTTGGTTTGTGGGCCAAATGCGGTTTGTTGTCAGAAGATTCGCTTCTTGAGCCTCGGATGATATTGCCTGATGACCGCCTTGTGTTAGTTTAGAGTTTACGCTGCCATGAGAATGAACAGTCTACTTACCGACTTCAGAGCCACCGGAAAACTTGAGAGAAGCACTGCCGATGCAAGGCTGGTGCTTCTGCAATGTTCTTGGAGTGACTATCTGAGCTAATATCCACCATGGGCAGCGGGAGAGTCCGAAGCAAAATTGTGCTTCATTTGTAGAACCACTTGAAACCTTCGTTGGCCCGGGTCACTTTTCCTCCAGGAGCTGAGATGGGTTCAGCTGAAGCGACGTCGGAGTCGATGATCTTTGTTACATCCGCGTAGGAGGATCGGAGCCGGAGTCACTCAGGACAGGCGTGAGCAAGGTTGATCTCGTGCTCATCGCACGACTCTTGGTAAGGCGACCGCCCAATGAGTCGGAGGTGTCTTGCTGGGGGGTTCGTCGGAGAGACTTTTTTACGCCCAAAGAAAAAACCAAAAGAGAATACGGTAAAAAGATGGCGAGAACCATGGAGAGGTGGTGCTGGAGGAGCTTGGTGAAAGTTGAAGGCGTATAGGCCCGAATCCAGGAGAGGGCGATGGAGTGTCTGCCGGCGTGGGAGGCTGCTCAAAATGAGGGATCTGCACCCAGTCAAGGGCGAGGTTGTCGACCTGACATCAGTGACCTAACAACAGTGACCTGACATCAGTGACCTGACATCAGTGACCTGACATCAGTGACCTGACATCAGTGACCTGACATCAGTGACCTGACATCAGTGACCTGCATCCAGGCATCCTAGTCGATACCACCACTGCCGAGGGTGGGGAACAGGCAATCGACCAGGTTAAGCTCCAGCTTCTAGGACTTGGCACTACCAAGTATAAAAAGAGTCCGCGCTTCTTTTGGGTTTAGTCTTGGGCCATGCCCACCTCTTGAAGAACGACCTGGACCTTTCTCGCCACCGCTTGATTTTATCACCGCTGGGCTCTGGCTGGTTTTGCCTGCGTAGAGGTGCCCCATCATCACTCCCGGGAACGAGTCTGCTTGACCTAATGGTAGGTCCATGGATCGATATCGCGGGAGAGGGGAGTCGCTCGAGCGAGTCTCTTAAAATGGGTATGCTCACGATGCTTTCCTGCGACATGTTGTTTTGTCTTGGGTACGGTGTATTTTGAGGATGCTGTGCCTCGTTGACCGCTGCGACTACGGAGTAAGTGACTGGGCTTGGAATGCTTGTTCCAGCCGGCAAGGATGAAGGGCCAGCACTGTAGCTGGAGGATGGAAGACTGGGCTCGCTCTTGGCTTGGTGAGGCAAGGCGTCGTAGCCGCTGCGATTTCTGGAATCGGCAACGGCCCCGCGACGAAGAAGGGAAGCTTCCCCGGTGTTGATGGTGGTTGACGAGCTAACCCCATAGGAGGCTCTCGAGGAAGAGTAGTTGGAGTGTCTGTGGCGGGGTAGAGGCAGCCAGCCCCTATTTTTTGCGGCACCCGTTGTGAGTAGTGGGCGATTGCTGCTTTGGGAGCCACAGCTAACGCTGTCGAAAGAGATGTCGTCTTGGTTCACTCCAAGGTATTGGAGGGGTCTTGTGGAGTTGATGGCGGGCATCTTGCTTGATGAATGAGGGTTGAGCTTCTGGATCCTAGCAGTAACCATAATGTCTTCCTCTTCGCTGGTAGTGTCCACCTTGCGAGTAATGGTGTCGCCGAGGAGGGGTGTCTTGTCGTTGACCATATTTGACACTAGAAAAATGAAAAATTGTGTGAGTGTTTGATAACCAAAAGACGAACCTACCAGTGACGGTGAAGGAAGGGTAAGACTTACGCATTTGCTCGATGGCTGCCGTTTGTGGTCGTGCCTCTAGGGTGGGCGGGGTTGTCACCTTCACCTCATGTCTGGCTTGGACATCCTGACTGGCGGGTCGAGACGGAGAGCGGCTCTGGCGAGCACCGTCGAGGTACGAAATGGGAACTCCCCACATGCTCGTGGAAGCATCACTTGTGCGTGATGCAGGACGCGGCGGCGCGTCAAGGACGTCGCCCTCAGGCTGCTCCTTAATCTCGTCGACTTCTTCGGCGACTCTGCCCCTGGGAAAGGGAGAAGGGCTTCGATATTGAAGCGAGCCGCGAACCTGAGTTGTAGGCTTGCTTCTTGAGGGTGAAGGGAGAAATACTTTGATGAGCCTGTGTAACTGATGGGCAAACTTGACCTTGCGCTTCACCTTGCGCTTTACCGACAAGCGCTTCTTCTGGCGAATTTCATGCACCGTGAGTGCTTTTTCTCGGGGACCGCTGAAGTCCAGCTGCCAACTGGGAAGTAGAAAAGCAGCCATTATTGAAGAGAGCGTGCTGTAAAGTAGAGGTAAGTGATTGAAAGTCTCAAGGAGTTAGGCGACTGAAGTTGTGTTGACGAGAAGTGCTGACTCGTTGATGACGGGAAGTTTGCGAGGAGGGAGAAAAGAAGAGAAAGATGGGGTTGATCAAGGGTGAGAATGGAAGATGAATTAATTGACAGACTTATTAAAACTATTGTTGCCTTGTGGGAGCCGAGAAACAAGTGTTTGCAGCATGAAATGTACGGTAAGAACGGGAGTCAAATAAAAAAATCGGGACCCACGTCCGACGCGTGCAGGCCGGAGGACGACGACGTGCCTGCGTATACCTTTGACTTCAGATGCTCAATGACGCCACAGCCTACATACAGTCGCAGATGTGGCTGCCTATAAGTCTTTTTCTTTTCCGGATGACGGACAGGTCAAGATGTGAGCCACTTCAACTTGGGCACTGGCACAAGTTGGGGCCGTCTCGTCTTCCCTGCTTTTCATCTTGTGTCAAGAAGATATGGGCAGTTTGTTGAGCATCCTCGGAAATGTGTTCCTCCGGCCGGCTACCCTGGAAGTGTACTGCTCGATGCCGAAATTGATGCTCAAGTAAAATGTCATGCCCTACTTTGCCTCTCATGTACGTCTGGAGGCAGGAAGGTATGTTGGAGATTAAATCCTGTCCGTGGCTTTGGAGTTGGATGAATGCAGGTGGTCTGCAGATGACAGAGTCTCGGTCTGCGACAATCTGGCCAGTTCTCAATGTGGCCTCTCTCGCAAGCATGAAGAGTGCATATTAAGCGCTGCACGTCTGTAAGGGATTTATTTTCCTGAATTCATTTTGTATGGCTTGCCCAGGATGTGTCACTCCTTCTAGAGGTGGCATGTAGCCAGATGAGGCATACCATTCACTTGAAATCCCAAGGTCAGTGCTGAGATGCTGACAAGGACAGAAATGGATTCATCTGATACCTTCCACTTACGATGGCCTGTACTGGACACTCTGCTCTCTGGTCAGATACGTCACTCTGCAGGCTCGACTGTTTATGTGAATGTTATGCGCATGTGTAATTCTTTCAGATCCCGCAAGACCTTTCTCTAGTGTTGCTCGCGTTTTTTTGCTTCGATCTTTATCCTTTTGGACATTTGGTTGGATCTTCAAGGCTCTTGCTAGGTAACCAAAGCTTTGACCATAAATTTGATATAGCCGATATGGTGAATGTTAAGGTCTTCGGTGGTATCATGGCAGCGAGGCGGATTCATACAATTCAATTGCTCCGGCATAGCTTAGACTGTAATATCACGTATTACCGAGCTGTCGGTTCTTTGAGGTCTGAGCCCTAGTTCTGCCCCTTGGATTGAAGGTCAGTCCCGTCCTCCGTGAGTGAGAAGTTGGAACATGGGGACAGACCTTGATTTCTGCACAACCAAGCTTTCAAACAGTACTATATGGACTCCGGGCATCCGGTCTCAACAACCCTGGAAGTTCTCTTTCTCAACCCAAACCCCGAGGCAGTGCCTCGTAATGCAGGGTTTTGAGATTCTCAGGGTGGTTGAAACCGGATGCCCCGAATCTATACGGTATGTCAACTCATCCTGTACTCGTTAGGGCTTGGATCATCTTTCTGACCCTGACGCGCCAAAGGGAAGATGGGCGATTCAAGACATGACGAGTATCGAGGAAGTATCTTGGGTCGAGAAACTTGTGAAAGGAAAACAGATCTTTAGTGTTAACATTGCAGTTATCAACCATTGGATTTCCTTCGAGAAAGTCAATTTGAAGATCTCCCCCATGTTCATGCAAGGCACTTGCAGATCACCCGCGCAGTTTGTTGCGTGGATCATGGGTGAAAATAAAATAAATCATTGGGACAAGGTGAGGGTGTTATTGAAGTTGTCAGACTGAAAAGGTTGGAAGAGGAAAGCTTGCTGATTCCATTGAAAGTCAAGACGTCAAGTGGTTGAGCTGAACCAGAGGCACAGTGATATGACGATATGCCCAGAGATGGGCAAGGGTCTAAAGGAGTACCCCAAACCTCCACATCGTGGAAGGATCCAGGATGAACCGTCAAGAGCGGAATTGGAGTTTGTTTCAAACGGCCCGCGGGGGTGGAGACTCCCCTATGCCGGCCAATGTGGGGCGAAGTGCGGAGGAGCTGAGGGGGCAGGCGGCTTGCGTCGGACTTGACCTCACGGAGGTTGGTGACAAACCGGCCATCCGCACTTTCACTTTTCCATATACTTTGAAGCTTATCAACTACTGCTACACTACTCTGAGTTCACCGTAGCAGTTGTAACCGACACGACTTCTTTTCCCGTCTTTAACTGAAGCTAGACTGCAGGGCAAGATCTGTCCCCTGGATTCTTCTTTCAGACAAGGAGCAACACAATCATTTACCCCCCCCGTGCTTCGCCTTCTTGGTTCTTCTACTCACTCGCCATCTGCGACAATCTCGAACTTGACACTTTTTACTGCATCAACAACTCCACAACCAGAAACCATGGCGCGTTCGTGGCTTGATATTGACCCCTCCAGCGACTTTTCGCTAGCCAACATCCCCTTTGGTATCATCGACACTCCCGAGGACGTTACACGCCATGTGGGTGTAGCCATTGGCAGCTACGTTCTCGACCTTAAAGAGTTGGCTCATCGGATCGGCGCAAATAACCTATTGCCATTTGGTGCACACTCTACCCCAGGAGTCTTTGAGACGCGCACACTCAATGCCTTTGCGAAGCTGGGGAGATCGGTCCATCGTCATGTCCGAGAAAGAATCCAGGATCTTTTGTCAGAAAACACAAGCTGCCCGCATCTCCTAAGAGACAATGCCGAGCTCCGAGAAAAGGTACTCTGGCCTCACATAGAGTCAGAATGTTCCTTCCCATGGACATTGGTGATTATACCGACTTTTACGCCGGCTACCATCATGCCTACGCCGTAGGTGTCATGTTCCGCGGCCCGGCAAACGCTTTGCAACCAAACTACACCCACTTGCCCGTTGGATATCACGGAAGAGCCTCCAGCATCGTCGTCTCAGGCACACCAGTGCGTCGCCCCGTCGGCCAGATCCTACTGGACCCCAAAGCTGAGCCCAAGCAGCCAACTGTGGCACCCAGTCGAAAGCTAGACATTGAGCTTGAGCTGGGCTGCTTCATCACCAAATCAAACGACCTGGGCCATCCAGTCAGCATTGACGAGGCAGAGAAGCACGTGTTTGGCTACGTTCTCTTGAACGATTGGAGCGCGAGAGACATCCAAACTTGGGAGTACGTCCCGCTGGGCCCATTCAATGGCAAGAACTTTACCACGACCATCAGCCCCTGGGTTGTGCTTGCGGATGCGCTGGAACCGTTCAAGACCAAGGGAATCGAGAACCCGACGCCGCTGCAGGATTACCTCAAGGAGAAGAGAGAGGAAACCGTCTTTGATATCCAACTAGAGGTGGACCTGACAAGTAAGTCGATTCGCATCGGCCGTTCTTCGAGTTGACATGGATCGCTAACAGCCAACTCCTCCTATCAGCTCCGGACGGTAACACAACCACCATTACCAAGACCAACGGAAAGAATCTCATGTGGTCGTTCCCTCAAATGATCGCCCACCATACTCTTGGAGGATGCCCGCTGCGGAAAGGTGACCTTTTAGGATCGGGAACCATCAGTGGACCGGTGCCAGAAGAGAGCGGTAGTCTGCTTGAGTTGAGCGAGGGCGGCAAGCGGGTTATCCAGCTCAATGGCGGCGAAGGTCGCACGTTCCTCAAGGATGGAGATACTGTCACCTTCCGTGGTTTTTGTGTAGGCAAGGAGGGCGAAAGGGTCGGCTTTGGCGAGTGTACCGGACGAGTGGAAGGCGCCTAGTATGGGCCCAGCCCGCCATTCACATCCCTTGGCTTCAGACCCATTGGGCAAAACAAGTAGATGTTGCAAAAAGGATTCGACATACTGCATATGGTAGACGTTCGATTTGAAAATGCACATCTGGCGGTGGATAATCGGAGCTAGACTGTATTGATACCCCCTAGCTCAAAACATAGCCGCATTATCAGTTGCTTTTTCACCATGTATCGGGATGACCAGGTGCCGAATTAGTAATGCCCATCGGATGTTTCATATCGTCCAGAACGGTCAAGATTGTTTCGTGTCGAGTTGTCTCATTACCGGCAGAACCTTGTTTCTCGAATTGGTCGGTGGCTAGCCCGTCTCGGACATTAACAAAGAGAGTTGTCCGGGCTTCGAGCCGGGGACCTCGACGACTTTAACAGGCCGTGCGGAGACATTTGGAGGATCATGTCCCCACCAGTTCCCCGCTACAGCCCAGTTTTCAATAGTTTAATCACGTGAGAGCGCTTTAATTGTTAGGTAATCCTGTACCTCCCGTCCCGTCTAGCGGAAAGTCTTTCCCGCTTGCAGGTTACAGTAAACAGAGACCTGCCCTGCAACCATTTCATTTACAGCATGGCCGCCAAATCGCATTGTCTCGCTTGACTTTGTTTCGCAGTTCCTTATCACCACGCAATTATTACCAGGGTGGCGGGCCAGGCAAAACCGCATACAGTTCGAGACCCAATCTAATTCCAAAGACAAAGAGGTTGAAGAGCCCCCGGGGATGAGGGAGGGGCTAAAGTGGAAGCACCCGCTGCAACTGGAAACACTGGCCTAGAACGACTGGAACCTGGAACCAAGAAGCTAGAGGCGGTCGGGTCGGCAATGAAGACAAGTGGAATTTGAGAGGAAGCCCATCATCCACTGACCAAATATGGATCTTCTCGAGACACAGGTCAGCGATTTGCGCTCCTTCCTCGGTGCCGGAGCTCTGCCTTCAACAACAACACCCACTGCTACAACAACTTCATCCCCAAATGCCATAGGTACAGCTGCTGCTGCCGCTATTCAGCAAGGAACGTCTGGCTCAACACCGGGACCTGGTTCTGGAGGCGCTTTGGGTCTGGGTTCAATGTCGGTGGCAGGGCTGACGGGTGGTGGAAATGGTGGTGGTGGTAATGGTGGCCATGGTGGGATGCCATCGAATGCCGCCTTGTCGCCGCATTCATCTACTGGATACTCACTCCCGAATCTGAACCCTTACACCACCAGTCACCACCACAGCCAAGTGCAACAACACCAGCTTCAGCCGCTCCAGAGTCACCCGCGAGACTTTGGGTCTCACGATTTCGCTTCCACCGGTCCCATGAGGGCGGCTGAAAGCGCCAACCATGGGGTCCCCCGACCATCGATCGCTAGTAGCACAACCGCCTCCCTCGCCAACCATCATGATGCCTACCGTCGCAACTCGTCCGTGTTCTCCCCGCGCGGCGACAATTCCGCTCAAAATGAAATGAACGCTATGAACTATGACTCCCCGGCAGCACAGTCGGATACCCAAGACCACCCTACCGGAACAGTATCTCGAAACAACAGCACTACCTCGGGCACTGCTGCTAAGCGCAAGGCTGGCGACGACGATGGCGTTTCAAGCTCTACTAAGCAACAGCGGAGTAAAAGAAATAGAGTGTGTAGCTTCTCAATCCATACCTACCTTATGCCTCATCCAGTCCTGCCTCCTTTCATCCCATTTTAGCATGTGGAACTGGTATTAGACTGTACACGGACATGTTAGCTAACCTCCAACTCGCTCGTAGTACATTTCAATAGCATGGTATGGCCACCTCGTCCCCTTCCTCTTTCATTTCTTCTCACATCTAAGAAGACTTTCATCCCTCAACGGACTTGGAGACAACCTCATCCCCTTCTTTTGAGATGCGATTACTGACCGCGGTCCTCAACGTCCGCAGTAACGAGTGCAAGCGCCGGAAAATCAAGTGTAATGGCCAGAACCCGTGTCAACGATGTGGCCATCTCAACCTCCAGTGTCTCTATGCGCCCAATTGTTGCTCGCACAGTCTCAAGGATTCGGACGAGTTCAAGCAGATGGCCGACCAAGTGACTCGTCTTCAAGACCAGGTCGAAACTCTCTTCAGCAACATGAGTGCCTTGCGCCAGGAAGCCCTCCGTCTCGCCCCAATACACGATCGCATCTTGCCTCTGCCTTCTGCGACAGTCACCCCTTCGCCATCGACGGCCTCCATACCCCAGTTTCCTCGGCCTCTCGCTGCTTTGCGACCACCTTCGACGTTCAATGGACCGACTAGCATTGCCTTTACTGTCGACGTGGCCAAGAACACCTTGCACAATATGGGATACGCCGGTGCTAGCGAGGCGCCCGACGACAGCGGCGACAGTGGTGCGCAGGCAGAACCAACACCACGAACATCACCGACGCCACTACCCCCGCTGCAATCATCAGCCTACCAGAGACAGATCGATCCACTGTGGGAGTTTGACCCGGCCGAAATAATCCGACTTTGCAAGCTGCACGAGGAGGAAGTTAGCGTCATGTATCCTCTCATGAAGATGGATAATACTATTCGACATGCGACCGAGCTCTCCGAGTGGATGGAGAAATCGAAAAGACAGGGCTTGGTGCCGCCGGAAGCCCAATATGAGGCACTCACCGACGACAGAACGCTTCTGCTGAAAATCGTTCTTTGTTGTGCCTTGGCTATTGAGGAACACGGAAACAGCAAGAAGGCAGCTCGGCTGTACGACTCGATCGAAGCTGTTACCATGAAGACGTTAATGAGTGGGCCTGCCGATGTCACCAAGTTACCCTACTTGGCTCTTGTCGCCGGCTACAAGTTCTTTTCGAACGACGAGCTAGCGGCCTGGCGCATTATGGGCCAACTAATGCGGCTATGCTTCGAACTGGGTCTCCACCGGCGAGAGGGCATTGATAAGATCACCGACCCCCAGGACAGAAGGAACGCTCTTAATACGTTCTGGTCCGCTTATGTGCTGGAGAGGAGGTGGAGCTTTGCTACGGGTTTGCCCTTTGTGTGTCACGACGATAAGATCGATCCCAAGCTGCCCTACCCGGTAAGATTCGAGATATCGGAATCTCCCACCACCCAAGATCCCCACTGACCGTTCCATCACAGGACGATCACCCGTACTTGCTGGCCATGATCACTTATTCTAGGCTGGCCGCTAAGATCTGGAAGCTGGTAGACTACTTTGAGCCGGCCGTCATCCGTGAGCTGAAGCCTCGCGACTTTGAAGAGCTGGACAGCAATATCATCGATTGGTATAACAGTGTCCCGGAAGAAGTCAAGATCAATTCGCTTGATCCACTTAAGATGCCGATAGGGCCGGCAGGACATGTCTACGATACCCAACGTTTGCAGATCTGGACCCGACTGAGGCTCAACCAGGTACGTTGATCCATCCTAGAGGGTTCTTCGAAGAGAGCGGTCGCTTACTGATTTTTCTTTTAGATCCGGATCTGGCTATATACCCCAGTGCTGCACAGCGCCATCAGCATCGTCGAAAACATGCAGTTCGCACGCAAGGCTGTCGACCTAGCCAAGGAGACGATTCATTACTTGACAGATCTCAACGCCACCACGAACATCTACCGCCGCATGCAAATGTTCTACCACCAGTTCCTCACCTCCGCCATCGCCGTCTTGTTCCTCGCTTCCACCCACGCACCAATCCAGTTCAGCGCCTCCTGCCGCAGGGAATTCTACATGGCTCTCGAACTGATCAAAAACATGTCGGCAAAGTCATGGGTATCGCAACGGATATGGCGAACGATTGGGTCCCTCAAGAAGTACGCTTCTCGGCTGGGAATGGAAGAAGACAACTCAAACACTTCGAACCCGACGACCCGCAATACAAACACCATTGCCAGGCCGCACAGCCGCTTCCAAAATGACGTTGCTGGTGATAGTCCTGCAAGTAATGTGTACAGCCCTGGTGCTGCAGCATACTCCGGAGGAGGACCGTTTAGCCGCTCCGACGCCGTCTCTCAAGGGACCAGAGGCGGTGGCGGCGGAGGACTTGCCTCTGGCGCCTCAACCCCGGCGGCTCATCAGAGCCAGCAGACCCAAGGATTGTCGCCGCCGGATGATCAGACCAACGGGCTCAGGCTACATACGGAAATGTCACGCATCTTTGAGAATATGCAAGGAGTGCGGCAGGGCGTGAACAGGATTCACTCACCCGATAATATGTCCCTAAGCAGCGGCGCTGGAGGCGGTGGTGGTGGGCACTTTGCTAATCTGATGAGCCCTCATGATGCTAGTATCGCTGGAGGTAGGGCGTCGATGGGAAGTCCGGCGTCTTCGAACGGGGCGGGGGTGTATCAGCAGCTGAGGGATATGTTCTAGGTGCGCAAGTACCTTGGTGAAAGAGAGGTGGGGAGGCTGGTTGTTAAGCTTGCAGATGACAGTTATACGAGCAGTTTAAAAAAAGAAAAAAAAGTCACATATGTACATGATGATACCCATAGCATTACATAGTTCGAGAGTCAATGTACCAGACAGGTCGTTAATGGACACACGTCCCAGCACTGATACTCCTCGGAAAAAGATGGTGCAGGTTCATAAAACCAAATACTTTGAATTTTGGCACTCAACCCGGAGTTACCTCTAATCCCGGATCCTCCCTCTGCCCGGACACAAAAGTGGTTCATCCCCATCGTGCCTTCTTCCCCGTCTGTATGGGATCAGCACGGAGGGTCGCAGCTGCAGGCAGAGTCTCTTCAGGTCTTCAGGGCATTGATTACATCAGCCAAGTGCAGGGGTCTTCGTCAACGACATCGATCTTTTCCAACACCAACTCACTCATGCGTTTTGCCCAGATTGTTCTCTAGTGTACCACCGCAAACTGAACATCTCCCAACTCCAAATCCCGTAGCAATAATCTGATAACGAGGGGACCTACCAAAATGGCCACCGCCACAAAAACAGTAGTAGCAACAGGTGCTTCATCTGGCCTGGTACTGTACCCAACCCCTCCCGTCCTTCCTGCTCAACCCCTCCATGTCATGTCTGCTTCAGCATGCCACTCTCTCCCTCTTCAATCTTCAATCAAGTCATAGCCTAACTAACACCCCTCCCCCCCAACACAGGGTTTCTACGTAATCAAGCACCTCCTCTCGCAGTCCTCGCAGCCATACAACTTCATACTCGGCGCCCGGGATGTATCCCGCACGCAGAAAGCTTATCGATCTGCCTTCGCCTCTGAGTCTCTGAATCCCCACTCCCTCGAGATCTTGCCGCTGGAGCTGTCTGATTTGAGAACTGTCAAGCGGTTTGCGTCTCGAACGCTGGACAAGCTCGGCGATAGGAAGATCGACTACCTCCTGCTGAACGCTGGGATTACCAGTGGGGCTGGGACTGAGAAGCCTGGGCCGGGTGGGAGTAAGTGGTGTGAGGGGCTGGTGGTTAATCACTTGTGTGAGTCTCCTTTAGTCCCTGGGTTGAGTGGCCTGTGTGGGCACCAAACAAGGCTTGATTGTCTGGGTGTAAAGACACATGTATTAGAGAGCCAGAGCTAACTACCTGGGTGTACGGTACCAGCCCAGCATTATCTAACACACCTCCTCCTGCCTGCGCTTCTCCGATCTGATGGCGGTAGGAACGATACCAATACCGATACTACCGGCAATCCCGAAAGTCGCATCGTGGTAGTCTCCTCGGGTGCTATCCGCCGCGTCACGGACCCAAGCACGCTCGAGAAGGATCTGCTCGCTGGCTCGGGCAAGGACGGAGACACGGTATACGCCGAGACCAAGTTCGTGCAGCTTCTCGGGGCGCACTGGTGGCGGAGAAAGCTGAGAGACACGGGCTGTAAGGTGGTGGCGGTCAGCCCTGGTTTGATTCCCGGGACGGGCATTGGAAGGGGAAGCGGGATGGTGTTGAGTATGGAGATGAAGGATGCTAAGAGTGTGGACGAAGGTGAGTTGACCTTTTTTTTTCCCATGGTTCTCTTGGTGTTGCCACAAGCTGACGGAGACGGGAAAAAAAAAAATACAGGGGCGCAAAGCATCCTGCGGGCTTTCACGCGGGACGATTTCCCCGAAGATTCTGACCGCATCTTCTTGACGAGCTGGGGAGAGTGGTGGGACAGCGATACTATTGGCAAGTCTCTGGATAAGGAACTACAGGATCGGTGGTGTCTCGGGAAGGAGGAGATTGAGGCGGGAGAGGGGTTGAAGGGGTTATAGTTGTTGAGGGGGAAACACGACACTGTTTCCAGGCATATTCCGTTTTGCTCAAGGAATTTTCTGCTCGCGACGGTCAGTTTTACTATCTGTAGTTCTCTATGTTATTCTCTGTAGCTGGAATTTGCTTTGGTTCTCTACCACTAGCGAGGAACACGTCTTCACCGCTCAAACGGCCGTGTAGAAGTATATGTTCGCCGAATATGGTATCTACGCCTTCGGTTCTTTCCCCAGTTCGTTGCATTTCCATTTTCTCCCGAGATTCTCACGATGGATTTTAGTTTTGTGCCCTAACACTCGGTCAGCTTCATTCTAAAATGTCGAAGCTCTGCATCTTTCTCTTAATGCTACCTAACCGAACTCCTCATCGAGTGGCTGTATCTCTAGGAGGGCTGGAATCTCCACCAACTATACGGCAGCGTGAAAGAACAAGGGCAGTAGGGCAGGGCAAATTTTAGGGACCTGTCATACACCAAGCATCACTATCAGGCAACCCGTCAGACCATTCGTGCTTTGTGCTATCAATGGAAGTATAAGGCGAGAAGCTGCGGAGTTCGGGCCACCGGTTGGTAGTTGAAAATGTGTCTCGTGATATCGATACAAAGGCAGGGAAGACTCTCCGTTTAAACAAGCGTCTCTTATAATAGCCTCGGTTTGGTTGTTGCGAAGAACCTCAGTGCACATGGGTGGTGGCACCGATAGCACGAGGTAATAAAGGCAGTGTAACCATCACGGCCGCCAAGATTCACGAGCTTTCAGGGCCAGACTCTTCGGGGCGAACGCCTGTGAAAAAGCACCATTTCCACTTTCTCCAGTCACGATAATGCCCATTGTGAGATGGTTGTACCCTTTGATAATCAGAGCGGTATCAGCGCTGTCGGTACCTCTCCCTACGTACCCCTAGGTTCAATGTTGTGCAACCATCACAACAGCTAACGCCAAGCTTCACGAGAATTCCAGGGCTGAGTTCAGTTTCTTCAGAAGAGCCGAGAGCGTGCATAGCACCAGGGGCATCTCAGCCCCCGAATTGTGATTTCCTGTGGGGGTGTACTTGGGATGGGGCGATAATTTACCTACCTACCTAACATGTCGACATTTTGGCGATGAATGATGACGGCATGTCATGTCTGTTGAGATAAAGTTGTTGAAGGAATCGGTATTCTGGCACACCCAACCCATCTACAGTGGAGTTAACCTACCTGTAGCCCTCTTTGGCGGAGGTTTTGGCCTGTCAAGGGGTTTACGGGGAGTGGAGCACGTGCTGGCTGGGCGCTGTCATGTGAATGGGGCGGTCGCCGGAGTACAGGCCGCTTTTTCTCTCTGGAGCCTAAGATACCTACGGTGGGCGGCCTTCCATTCCGTATTCCGCTCTTCCCGATCCGGCATCCCGGGTGTAGCGGCGCTGCGGCGGTGGGGTTGTGACGGGCTGGGTCAGGGTGGGCTGGACTGGACGGGTGGTTGGTAGGGTGAAAATTTCCATCACGGAGAACCAACAAGAATGTAACGCGGAATGGGAAATGCCATCCTCGTTCAAATAATGTGAGTATCTCTACCTGACGCTGGGAAGATGTTACCATGCCATGACAATATCACAAAATGAAGTGGAATCCGACTCTGTCTGCACAAAATGCGACCTCAAAATCAAAGTCACGAGGTGAGCACACCATCCCGCCCATCCAATCCAAACTTTATACCGTGCCGCAGCAACCACGATATCGCTCGTCGTCGGTGTGCAGAACCAGTGGATGTTGCGGGAACGGCACACTCAAATACGAGATATACGTACTAGCTCCAGTGGCTCCAGTGGCTTCCCAACGGGGTCTAACGGCGGGGGCCCTCCCACCCCCGGATTGTGGGAACGCCAAGAACCCTATAGGCCCTTCCCAGGCGAGCCAGTGACGAGGTTATTCCGCCGTAAGCTGGCGTTCGCAATACGAACATCGTCACTTCCACTTGCGTTTTGCAAGCAGGCAGGAAAAGTTGGTCCACGCCATGTTTGCGCCATGTGGGCGGAGTTGGTGGTTCCCTTCCGGCGGTGGAAAAGTTTGCTGTGATGATCGGAAAACTGTGGGCTTGTTGGTTTTGTATAAATGAAGGGCTGATGGACTACTAACAATCGTTTTGTGTCTCCCTTCTCTTCATCTCTCCTCATCGATATTTGTGTCTCACCAGATTGACACAGGAAACGCGCATCAATCACCCTTCCAGAACTTTGTGTGACAAGACACAACACAGTTGATCCGCCATCGTTCTTTCCCTCCCAGACCAAACTACTTCAAAAGTTCAGTCCCACCAACTTCCAACTTTCGCATCACGGCGCCAGGCCACGACCACAACCAACCAAAATGAAATCCACAACCACCCTCCTCACCGCGCTCAGCGCTTTCGCGGTTGACTCCGTCATCGCTGACTTCGACGGTTTCTTCCGCTTCATCGGTGGCAACGCCGTCATCTCTGGCGAACGTCTGCGCCTCAACAACTCGATCCCGTGGATCTCCCCCGGCGTGTCTCACGCCCCTTACAACCCGGACGACCACTACTCGCGCATCAACATCAAGGACACCACGCACAACCTGCTCTACGTGGTCCCCACTAACCCGCACCCTCCTCCGGTGCCCGGTTACTACGCCCTTTCGGGAACCGAGGGCGTGCCCGACGCGTACCGCTTGGTGCAGACGTATCGTCCGGATGAGGAGGGCAGCGTGAACCTGTACAAGGAGTGGAAGGTCAAGAAGGCTTGCGATAAGAGCGGAAACAAAAACGAGACGAGGAGCCTTCTCAGGTACGGCAATGATTTGTATGGCGAGTGGAGGTGGATTGCCGTTAGGGAGATTGGGTATACCGGTGCCGAGCGCTGGGTGCCGTGGTGGGTTAAGCCCTCCGCGGCCAACATTGGAAACTTGACGGCGTGGGATTATGATGTTGCGGATCTGGAGCTCGTGGCTGCCACCGGCGGCGTGAACTCGAATGCACCCGGTGGTGTTGAGGAGAACTAAGGGGTGGGCTTGAAGAGGACTAGGGAGGAGGAGGAGACTGGTTAGAGGTCGAGGAGTTGAGTACAGATACTCGGATTGTTGAGGAGGAAGTAATTGGGTGTTTACGGTCCACGGGCAGGCTGTCTATAGGATGACTGCTGGCGTGTTGGACATATCTTCTTGCACATAGCTTTCAGCCGCTCTCGCGCTCTTCAACTTTATTTTCTACCATATTTCGTTAAGCCACATGCTAGGTATTCTTTACCGTTGTTCGCCTCAAGCTCCATGAAGCTAAAGTCGATCTTCCTTTTGCCATGGTGGATTCATTTCGCTACCTTTGGACTTGGACAAGGATATTCGTCGGCACTAAAGATCTAGTTGACCGTCAGCATTGTCAATAAGTTTACGCCGAGGGGCCGGGTCGTGTCCACAAAGGTAGCTGTGTTGGACAAAATAATTTTTCGAATTGGATGTAGAGAAAGGGAGTCTTTGACAGTATAATCCAAGCAGAAAGGAAGGTGAATCAAAAACATGGCTGGTAAGGACACGATTGTTTGTTGTTCGTCTTTCAAGCAGGCCGGCTGCCAAAACTCCAGCTTTTGCCTTTTTCGAGATGTATCCTCCCGTCAACAAAGGCTGAGTGTATGGTCTCGAAGTTCCATCCCCAAGCTCGAAGTCCGATCCTTTTGGTCCATCTCTGGGACAGCATGGTATCCAAATCTCATACCCCGGCAGACCGTTAACTACGGCTTCAACACTTTATGGGAGACGGAAATAGCACGACAAAATGATAACAACGACAATGAAACCACCCGTGGTCGATACCGTACAACAACCGAGCATCTCGTGTATAAAACGGCACCAGGGCCCAAACCTCATCTTCTCCCTTTTCACCCAAGACTAGCCTCGACAGGAACCATTCAAGACAGCAGCAAGAACATCATCACAGACAAAGTCTTTTCCCAGCCAGTCCTTTCATCATCTTAGCTTAAAATACTCGACATCCAAAATGCCCGAGAAGCGCCTCAAGCCAAGCTTTCAGGTCAGCCGGATGACTTGCCCCGACCCAAACAAGAAGAAGGCAGAGGACAACAAGCAACAAGACAAGAAGGGTGAGGGTCAAAAGAAGGATGAGAAGAAGTAGTTTCCTTCCGTTCTCTTTTCTTTTCAAAGCAGCACTGGCAAGAACAACTTCCATGCCACACAAGCCGTCACCAACACAATGGGAAAATCACCAGCCAGCTTCAAAATCAACCAGAAGGGAAAAATAAATAAAAAATGAAAAGAAGCGATCCGGGATTCGAACCCGGGATCTTACACTACGGTTGCCACGGCCGCTCCACACATTGTATGTGGGTGCGTCCTAGGAGGGTTGCCACCTTCCCCTCAGCACGAGTTTCGGAGTGTACGCGTTAGACCACTACGTCAATCGCGCTTGTTGTTTGTTGAAGGGAGGACACAAAGACCTGATATATATACCACGGCGGAAGGAAGGAAGGAGCACGGGGACTTGGTGGGTGGGAAGTTACGTACCTTTAGGTACCTGGAGGTGAGGTGGTCTTGCTCCTTCGACTTCGTTGGGTTGGATGATTGGTCCCCCGCGCTCCCAAGCTTGCCCTTCCCTTCCTTCCTTCCTTCCTTCCTTCCCGCCTTCCGTATGGCAACAAGCCATCCCGCTTGCCGAATCCAACCGACTGCCTCTCATTATCGCTGTCTCGTCGTTTTCTTTTGGAGTTCCCTGCTTTGCCCCATCACCACAGCTTGGCATCTCTCTTTTCTATTCTCGCCAGAGGTCCCACGCTGCCTCCCCCACCGCCACACCATCCATTCAGATTTTCATTAGGTTAGAACTCTGATAGTAGAAAGTATCTGCTCCCCTCATCGTTAATTGTGACTTCTCTTATTGTTCTGATTTGTTCGTCGTGAGTACTTTGCAATTGTGAAATCAATTTTCAGCTCGTTTTGAAGCTTTTCCTACATCCGAGCCGTAGACGGCACTGGGGAAGTGTCTTTATTCCAATGTTAGAGGCACTGAACTGTGAATCTCATAAGTTGAATGACCCAAGCCAGATATAGTTCGCTATCTGGGCCCAACGGTGAGTTCGGTGTTTTTTGACCAGCTGGGCCAAGGGGGTAGCCTCGACAAGGATCAGAACAACCGCCGAGGAGCTGTCAGTGGCTCACTGCCCGGATGTTGACGATATGGATGTCCAAAATGCTTTTCCAAGAGGACGACACGGCATAGAGGTACAGAGAGGCAAAAAAGTGCAATGATCTTTCCACCCATGTCATGATGGGCGAGGAGAGATAGAGCCTGCACGGGAAATGCGCCAAGACTCAAGATGCAAGGCACGTTGAGGATCCCAAATAGGAATGCACAGGGGGTGTTACTGTGCTAACACTTGTGCACAAAAATAACCACGATGTAGGATAGCGCGAAATCTGATCGAATGCGTATCTTCCTTCGAATCTTTCCTACAACCTGCTCTCCCTCCACAACCAGCTATCCGAAGAAAGCAAGAAAGAACAACATCACGACAGAATTTTCCAAAGCTCCCGTCCGCAACCCAAACTACTCAACCAACCGAGTTTATTAGCCCGAACATCTTTCTCGACCGGCGAGCTCTTCCGCTTCAATATCCTCGACAACACGGCCGAAAACCCACCATAGACACTCCGCCGTTTCCCGCCACGATCAAAAGAATCAGCCTACTCGGAGGCATAACGAGTAGAGGCGCCTTGCTAGGTTCACAACAAGAACAACAACAGAATATTTCCCGTCTGCTGACTCAAGAGTACATGGAGCGTGGAGGGCATGGACCGACCCGAATGCACAGAAGAAGGCCAAAGAGGCGCTCTGCTGGGTTATGACACTTTTCTGTTTGGCTGCCTTGAGCAAAGAGGAGGAGGACTTGACTTTCCGTCTAATGGCTGCTCAACCTGGGACACGCCTCCAGATTTGTCAGTGACATTGAGTTCGGTAACAGCTTTCCCGCCTATATAAATCCTCTCATGATCAAGTTGTCAGCACTGCCGTCGCTGGTTGCTTCGTTGTTGGTCAACGTGCTCGGCTGGACGCAAAACGATACTCTCCCAACCACGCCTACCATCCTCTGTCTACGCATGACCCGGGCGCTGGCATGATGTTGTCTGGCCCTTGCACATGGGGCCCGGCGTCCGCAAAAACAGTGCGGGGGAACTGAGCCGGAAAAAGGCACTTCACTCTCCCTGCCGACTTGGTCTGGCCACAAGCAGGTATTACATATTACTTCGACAATGAGGGCGAAATCCTATTGGCATGCCTGTGTACTCCTGGTATGCCTTGTGACCTTCTTTTACCTTATGTGAGCTCGTGTGCAGATGCTGGGAGAAAATCTTGAGGTATCAACAATGGTGTTACCGATATCTTGGAGCGCTGCATCTGGTAGAATCTGGCCTTCCTGCCTTCGACGAAGGGGTGGGGGTCGGCACACTTGGGGTTTCAAGCGACAGTAGGTATCCGAGTGCCGGCTGTCGAACAGAACTGGAGGGTACGGTACCCGACTCGGGCAGTTAAGTTGCCAGCCACATGGAGTACATAGGTAGGTACTTTGGAAAAGGAGAGAAACAACGTCACCCGGCTATACAGTTTTGGTGCACAAAACCAGTGTCTAATCATAGGACTTCTTTTCTTGAGGCCAGGACAAGGACACTCAGTACTATCCAAACTCGGCGTCAACGAATTCCCTGGATTCGTTTCAAAGGTACCTCTACCTTTTCACACTCGAATCTGCCGTCCAGCCATCTTCTTTACCCAAACTCAAGCGCTCCCTCAACTACTCTACCGTTCCGGTCGCAAAGCCAACGCGTATACGCGCATCCGACGAATACCACAAGCTTTACACGACAAGACAAAAGACCTCCGGCACCACATTCTCGTATTGTATTTACCTTGCAATACTTCACTTACCTAAGAATTACCATGGGCCGCTCCTATTCCGCTCTTCGCGCCTCCCACGAAAAGAAAGCCGCCCTGGCGTCAAAGGCTGCGGGGGCTAACCACAAAAGGCGCCTTACAATGGCCTTGAAGGAGAAGGGAGCCCCTCGTGCCATGTGGGATCCGCCGAGGATGTCCGTCACTCCTTTACCCAACACGCCTCCCACCGAGAAGTCAAAGCCTAAGTCGCCATAGCCGTATTCCCCGCCGGCTCTTCACCCCTCCACAACTTCGGGTGCCAGAAAGATGAACCAGGCGGCAATTCAGAAGATCAAGGATGAGCGATCCTCTGAGCTTTCTTCTGGGCGGTCTCTTCGCTCGTCTACAACCTCTGCTGCTGCCAAAGTTACTGAAAACGTCAAAACGGCAGTTGGAAACGTCAAGAAGGCAGCCAAGGCAGCTATCCAAAAGATCAAAGATGAGCTGTCTTCCGAGTCCCCTCCCAAATCGACTGTTCCCTTGCCCATCACTTCATCTGCCAGCGCGTCAAACGAGCCTCGTTCTGGCAGAACCCTTCGTTCCTCAACCGCCTCCCCTTCCGCTCCCGGCATGTCCAACACGGCAGCCATTCAGAAGCTCAAGGAAGAGCTGTCTGCTGATATCGAGCTGTCTGCTGACATGGAGTTATCTTCCGGCCAGGCCAAGAAGCCTCGCTCTGGCTGAACTCTTCGTTCCTCGACCAGATCTACTGCTGGCAGAACCGAGAAAATTAAGGGAGAGCCGTCGGTTGAGTTGCCTTCCGCAGCGACTCTTGGCCCTTCACCCCCTACCACTGCCAGCAAGTCAAAGAAGCCGCGTTCTGGGAAAACTCGTCGCTCGTCAACTCCCGCTGCCCACAACACTGCCACCAAGAAAGTCAAGAAGGAGCTGTCTGACACGCCGTATCACGGACCAACCCTTCGCTCCTCGGCCACATCCTCTTCTGGCAATGTTGAGCCGTACTCTGCGTCAACGCTTCGATCTTCTCGCCGCGAGGCGGTTTTGAGAATCCAGGAGGAGCTGTCTGCTGAGGCAACCCCCAATCCAGCCTCTGGATCGAAAGTGGTTGCAACTGCTTCAGAGCTTGAGCGCGAGCCTCCAATTGAGCGCGAGCCCCAGCCGGAAGCCCAGCCTAAGGCGGAGAATTGGGAAGGGCCTGAGCATGAAGAGGCACAAGGAACTATGGCCGGCCACCGCTACGGCGACCACCGTAACTGTCCCATATGTGAGGTTTGGGGCTGGGAGTGCCCGCCTCTGCATATTAGCGAGGAGGGTCAAGAAATCTGAGATGTTGAGGCGGTGGTATGATATGAAGAAGTGTATATGTCTCTTCGCTGCGGTTTATGTATCTGTACGTTTAAATATTTTCTTACACAATTCCGAGTTAGGGGCTTCTATCACAAAAAGACACTGTTCTCTTCTGCTTCCTCTCCTTGTTCTCTACCACCCTATATTTCCGCCCTATTTACTTCTCCTCACAACGTGCCTTTTCGTGCCAAATCGTGCCTCTTGTTACCAGTCTCTGTATACAAGCCAGCTGTTCACTGTCAGTGATCACTACCTGGGCGTCGTGGATGATTCAGGCTCCATATAGGTACGTTCCTCCCTGCCCAGCATCTTCACTCATTCCAGGTTAACTGGTGAACACCTGGACTATTAATGTTTTCCTAGGACCTCTAACGAATAGTTGGGCTGCTCAAGTATCTAACACTCTAACCTTGACAGTGGTGTTGCGACCATGGAATCAGGTCCACGAGGCGACCTTAGAAATAGTTTCTCCTAAACTTGAGCGGTCGACAGATCCCCGCTCCCAAATCTTCTTCCCTTTCCAACTCAGATCACCAACAACCAAATACCATCCACCTCAAGCTTGAGTCCTGTCAGCACCTGTGATAAACAACCCCCCCTCCATATCCTCAGTCATCAACCGACACGCACTTCAAATTCCTTTCCAGCTAGGCGCATTATCCACTACACAATTACTCTAAATCATATTGCTGATTATCTACTGTGCTTCACTTTAGTCACAATGCCGAGAACACTGGCTACAGCACGTGGGCGCTGCCCCCACAAGGCCGCCTTGAAGGCACGCGGAATTAACCCGAACAAACTTCTCTTGAGCTCGCATATCCAGCGCATGGGCGTCACGTCTGCAACCTCTCGTCCTCGGTCCCACGAAGCCACCGAGAAGGTCCTCAAACACGCCCTTGAGAAAGCCCAGCAGGAGGAGAAGGCGAAGCAGGAGGCTGTAGAGAAGAAAGGCACCGAAGAGAAGGAGAACCGCAAGAGGAGCGCCAAAACCGAGATCCGGAAGCACCAGATGGTTACGAGGTCGATGGTCAAGAAGGTGGACGTCGTCAAGGAGAAGTCCTAAGCCACTTCGGCTAGATGAAGGTACCAGGTAAAGGTATGTAAACAACCTGGAGCGGACCCTTTCCCTTGGTTAAACCTGGTACCTAGGCGGACACTAACGCTGATGTTTGATTTGATAGGAAATGTTTCCATACAGCCACTTCAAGTCCGATCATACACCAATCTCCCGTTTACGGCCGGGTCAGCTTCTCCCATGTTTTATCAGCCACGACACTTGCCATATCATTGCTAGAGGCTGGAGGTGGAGGTTTCGTCAGCTTGCAAGCTGTACACGGTCGCCATATGACTTAAAATCATAATTGGGTCTTTCCACCCTGACATCTGAGACCGTGATCATGCTATCACCACCTTATTACCTAACCATCACCAGTCATTCATTGACTTTGTCTGGAACCTGGACCAGAAACACTAGGTCCAAGTGTCCAAACCTCTACAGGTAATCTTGCAGGGTATCCCGCAATCTTGAAACCACCTCCACGGAGAGACCGTGGAAATAGTTCCTCCAAGTTGAGTGGTCGACATATCCTGGCTCCCAATTCTTCTTCTCTTTTCAACTATCTTCATCAACCACCTACCCATAATCATCCATTACAACTCTGACTTCGGTCATCAGCAACTCATACTCCCAAAACCAATACATCCTCAAGGTAGGCAAGTCAATCCACGACCTACAGAATTGAAAGCACGCCGCTGACCATGTTCGCATTTCTGTAGTCACGATGTCGAGAACACTCGCAACAGCACGTCGCGGCCCCTACCCCGAGAAGGCTGCCTAGAAGGCAGCTGGCATTAACCCCAACAAACGGTTAACAAGTACTCGAGTTCAGCCGCGGCGCATGACCGCCAAGTCCGAGTCTTCACGCACTTGGTGCCCTCAAGTCCGCGAGAAGACCCTCCTAGAGGCCCTCAAGAGAGCCCAAGCTGCCCTCGAGAAGTCCCGGGTGACCCTTGAGGAAGCCCGTATTGCTTGCGACAAAGATCGTGTTGCTGTTGAGGAAGCCCTCGATACCCTCAAAAAAGCCTGTAGCTCGAAAACAAGCGTCCAGACTGGAAAAGCCAACAAAATCCCAAATGAGAACGAGAAACAGGAAGACGTCCGCAAGCAAAGAGCCTCAAAGACGGAAATCCCCATGCGAAAGACCGTGAAGAAGGAGATTGCGAAGAAGGGTGTTCCTACCAGGGCGATATCGAAAAAAGTCAATCGTGGAGAAGAAGGTCGCCAGGAAGCGAGACGACGCCTAAGCCTCCCCGGTTAGGTAAAGGTATGTAGACAACGAACCCTTGCCCTGATACATTGTTAAAGCATTGAGCGAGTCTAACTCTGGGGTTGCTTTACTGCATAGGAAGGTATGCCATATCGTCGTTTGACGTCTCGGAAAATGAAAGTTGCATTTACAACCCGGCCAACGTTTTACTAACCCTTGACGGCTGGAGCACTAGATCAGGGGCAGTATTGAGATTGCCATAGGAGCCAACAGCTACCCAGACAGAGTAATGTACGTATCAGACAATGAGTTGACTCGCCCAGCTTTGTGTTTCTAGCTGTGTTCTCCTTTCAGAGATCCCCCTTTGAGCCGGGTCGTCTACCTTGGTTTCATCTGCTTTGTGTTGATTTTTTGGACTTTTTGGTGTTCTGTCGGTCCCCTGAACCACAATCGCGTAACAGAAAGATAGCGCATCATATTCGTTTACCCTCGACTGACTTTACATTCGACACCTGAGTCCTCTCGGACGGAGATCGGGGAACTGGAAAGCGACGGCCTTCACTGTGTCTACCTCTGACTACGGAACCTTGAGCCCAGTGGCTTCACTGCTTCCTTGCCTTTACCATGTGAACCCTGAAGGATCATGACCCGGCACCACTTCACTCTCACACTTGGAACCTTGAAGTGCCATTCACTGGCTGGCCATGCCTACAACCTTTGCACTTCACTGGGACTGACGTTCTGTCACCAGAATATTTAAAGGCCATTTGCCTCGCGCAACACACATAACCAGACCCGACTTTCTTCTTCCTACAAGCACCGATGAGCCATTCTGTACGGACCCTGAGGCAACAATCCGGCCACAGCAAATCCCTCGTAAGTGCCCCTGATATTTCTCTGGTAATTATTCCAGATATCGGTGAGCCTTTTATACCTACATCTTTACTAACAACTACCTACCTCGTACACACCGCCGCTTCTGCAGGAAACTTCAGCACTTCCATTTGAAGATGACAAGAACGATAGCCGGCATGCGCGCCGCGCGCGAGGAATACCGCCGACTCAGGGCCATGGGCATCAACACGAAGAAGCAGCTCGTAACCCGTGCCAGGCGCATGACTTGCCCACCTCTTCCTCGCAAAACTGCCTCATTGACTCCAGCAAAGTCCAAGAGTCCTTCACCCAAGAGCACGCCATCTAAGGCCAGCCCAACCGACATTCAAAAGTCGAGAGGCAGGGATAAGGTAGCGAGCAAGGGCAAGGCAATCTTGAGTCCTGAACCCAGTGCCACGGACAGAAGCAGTGAAGCCGAAGACAGCTCCGCGGTGGAGTGTGTCAGCTCCGCTGCCATGAAGACCAAGACCAAGACCACGGCGAACAAGACACCTGCAAGGGGTCGCAAGAGGAAGATCGCATGCATCGACAGCGACGAGGAAGAAGAGGAAGAGGACTACCAGGAGGACGAAGATGAGGAAGAGGAGGAGTAAGATGAAGAAGAAGAGGAGGATGAGGAAGAGGAGGACGGCGACGACAAAGACGACGACGACAAAGATATGTCCATGGTGGATGACGAAGAGGATTCGCCTGCGCCATCACCGAAGTCCAAGACCTACAAGGCCAATAACGGCAGCCAGGAACGACTCAAAGTCGAAGAGCACCAACTCAGACTCGAAGAACAAAGGCTCAAAGTCATAGAGCAACGGTTCAGAGTCGAAAAGCAACGGCTCCGAGTTGCAGAGAAACGACTCCGAGGCGCAAAGTGATGGCCACGTTATGGTTGAAAGGATATGACCAGGATAAAAAAGGGCTCAAATAGAACGGGAGTCTGTTTGAGCAAGGGGATTGTTAGTAAAGCGACTGGGTACATTGAGGATTGGTGGGGGGTATCAATGGCAGTCCTCGCAAGAGACGAGACAAAGGATGGGGAGTCGGTCATGTTTGAAGTCGTGATGGGTTCCCCATTTTCATTATACATGTAGCGTCCGCCTTTGTGTCATCCGTCTTCGGATCGGCCGCCTTTGTTTCGTCTATTTCCTTTGAGCTTTCCACTTTGAGTTGTCCGCCTTTGACGCGTTGCTCACCTTTGTGTTGTCCGCCATCGAGTCCTTTTTAAATCGTGCCTTCGAGTCTTTGCTATGCAACCTATCAACCCCCCTCACCTATTCCGAGACATGTAAAGACTCTGTTGGCGGTCAACACATGCAGATACCCTATTATCCAAGTTTTGCACAGTCTCCAACATTGCAAATTATTTCTCCTTTTATTCATTAGCCTACAAAAACAATGCCTAGATTGCTCGCTACTGCTCGTGGGGCATACACGAAAGCCCCGGGGGCTCCTAACCCCAACAAGCGTCTCGCGGGGACAAATATTCGTACCCAGGTGCGAGTGGTGACGGCACCGAACGCACCTTCAGGCCCCGGAGAAGAGCTCGAGGAGGAAGACCCTGAAGAGGAATCCGAAGAAGAAGAGGAACCAGCGCCCCAGAAGCGCAAGACGTCCAGAGGGGCGAGCGGAAAGAGAAAGAGGGAATCATCAGATGACGATGACGATGATGAGGACGAAGACGGTGAGGATGATGACGAGGAGAGCGGGTCCGATAAAAGACCCAAGAAGAACGCGAAACCCGCCGCCGCCGCCCTCATCAACACAAAGGTTAAAGGGGGTAGGCCTCCGAAGAAGACGAAGAAGGCCAAACAGCCCAAAGAAGAGTCCGAGGAAGAGTCCGAGGAAGGGTCTGAAGAAAAGAAGCGCGATCTTCCTGATGGAGTATATCGAATCCGAGACATCCTAGGGAATTGGGTGGATGATGAAGGTCGACTTTGGCACTATGTCGACTGGGAACAAAACGAAGAGACTGATGAGATTTACGAACCAGAATGGGTAAGTTCCATATTTGATACCCTGCTGTTCGGTTTCCTGTTTTGGCGTTATAGACGGGATGTATGCAGTGCACTAATCACTATCTGGGAGTACAGGTGCTGGCCGATCATGTCGATGAAGCAAACGAGATACTGGCCGCATGGAGCGAGAGAAGGGCCCAGAGGGCCAGAACTGAGGAGGAAGTCATGGCCGAGGCCGTGGACCCTGAGCAGATCCGCGAGGAGGATGTGCCTGAGGAGGAACTGCCCCCCGTGGAAGAGCGAAGAGAAGTTCTCTTTGGTAGGAGGAAGGCGGGACGGAAGCCGAGGGAAGAGCCGATGTATAAGAACAGACAGCTTGTCGCTATGACTGCTCCGAAGTAAGGAGTATGTCTACGATGAATGGCCTCCCTTACATGTCATCTCTGGTTTTTTCGGTCTTTATAATCTGGAGCTTACCTCATCCACAACGCAAAAGATTCACAGGCATGGGAATGTGTTAGTCAAGCAATGTAATACCACCGTACGAAGTGTAGAATGGACAATGGATAATATTTTAGGTTCCATATGACGAATGGTGACAAGAAATGACACAAAAATGTTTTCCAGCAACGTTTTGTAACAAATCCACCTTCATTCCAACCTTTTCCGGTTCCGCTCCCAGGTTGATTAGATTATGTAGAAACGGGGCTCACACACTTGCAGCGCATAAGTTGCCTTGTTTGAGACAAAATCATGAGTGTCCCAGGAGTTATCAGTGGCATATCTTGGGGCTAACGCATGAGTTGGCAATTTCGGAGTCATAGAACGGCGAAATATTGTTGATATTTCTTGACTCCTACTATAGGCATTGATGACTCTGCGTGAATTCTTTTGTCCTTATGTCCCGCGCAGCATATATCTACGTAGGTCATATAGGTCTTCGAGTCGTTCCGTGAAAGTCGACCGGTCACAGATGCATCATCTCAATATTGAAGAAATCTCTACCATCGCATCGCATCTATCATAAACGTGCTAGATGACCACATTGATCAGATAAGGTATGACCAGATTCAGTTCCGACATGCGCGCCGCCCGTGATCAAGGGGACCCGAGAGGAAGGCCGAATCAACTGCACGGGTCAGAACCCAAATAAAGTCCTCGCGACAGCAGCGGAAGCAGCGGGGAGTGCTCTTGCTACCCCCCTGAGAAATGGCTATTAAGACTACATCATCAAAAGCCAGCTCTGATGAGGCGATGGAGAGCAGCGATGTCGCCGCCGATGAGGGCAAGGCCGAAAATACCTCTAACAAACAGGTGGCCATCAGAACACGGCTCACAAGAGAAAGATTGCAAAGAATGATGGCTGCTGCAGAGGGCAAAGAAGACGAGGGAGATAGTGGGGAGGCAAAGCAAGGAAAGAAGAGGAAGAGAGAGAGCGGAGTTCGCACATGGGAGATGATAGTTGAAATAGCACAGGAGGATATGAAGAGACTGGAGGTTCTTTTTTTGGGCACAGAATCCTCAAAAGACGATCGTGGCCAGTGACAGCAAAATCCAGAGACCGCATACAGTCGGGAGACACTCATGATTTCCTTTTCCAGTCAGTGTTTTTCAGCCCAAGACAACTTCAGGCCTCATTACTCTACCATAGTTCTACGTCATATGCATCTAATCTTCTGTGACGAGCAGTATTCGTCGTAACAAAACATTACCAAAGTGGACATCAACAGAGACCGAGAGTGAAGTGGTGAAATTTTCCCCACTACAAGGAGCAGTGAATGCAGCTCGCAGAATTGTAAAAAAGGTTTAATATGTTGCTTCAAATTCACTGGCTCTAGAGGTACTCTCGTGCCAAAGGCTTACCGAGACAGGGCATGACTTCCTTGCGATGCTGAACCGTGCTTCATCATCTGACCCTTGAGGACCTCTGGGTACATGTACGTACCCTTTACCTTCACTGTCCACCCTAGATTGCTTGCGACCTTGGAGGCCCCCTTAGGTGTACCTGGAGCGCGTCTCCTCACTTTAAATTTATTTGCATTCTGCCACAAACATCATTTTTCACTTTCCTCCCAAACACACAGGACAACTTGACCACTTCCTAGGAAACAATCCATCTGTCCGGCAGTGAGTAACCAAACAACCCAAGCCTTTCAGTGTATGCCACCTTTCCCCCACCATATCAAAGCATCAGCTGACGTATTTAATCTCTAGCAAACCCTTCCGGCAAAATGGCCAGAACCAGAAGCACGGCCAAAGGTCTGGGCACTTCTACCCGTAGCTACAGGGACGAGAAGACTGCGGAGAGATCGACAAGACACCACAAGTTGGTCGCAATGACTGCCCCGCGGCCCTGCTCCTCCTCCTCCTCCTCCTCCTCCTCTTTGTTGCCATCCAGGGCCAAGGGCACTAAAAGCAGCGCTGCAGTTGATTCTGCCTCTGACCATGACGACGCTACTCACGACGACTTGAGTGTCACCAACACGAAAGACGCCACCGATGTTGAGCAGGACATCGAGGAACCTGCTCCGAAAGATGACAAGAGATGGAAGACCAACACGGTCAGTGCCAGGCGTTGGCGTCTTGCTCAAGCACGTCTGCGCGAGCAGGCCGCCCAGCGAAAAGCCGAGCGTCAGACGCCGGAAGAGGCTGCTCGGGAGGCAGCGGTCAGACAGGCTCGACAGAATGAAGCGACCAAAAACCATCTACGTGTAAGTAATGGCAGTCACCATTGCCTTATTCCATCTTATATCAATCGAGATAGCCAACGTTGGCTGACAATCCGCAGCTGATGGCTGAATATTGGGAGTCAAAGCAGGAGCCCGGCGTCGAGTACAGATATGAAGACTATAAAGACATGATGGACCTTTGAGTCAGAGGCGATGTTAACGTAGTAGGGGATCGTGTGTCGTATGAACGAAGGAAGAAAAAGGGAAATAGGTGGCATGTCTTTCTGTACGGTACATAGGAAGTCTGAGCAGAATGTCCACCTACTTGATCACGATATCCTACCTATTGACACAACTGTGGTTCGCGTCAAATAAAAGCAAAGGGTCGAACGGCAAGAGCGATAGTACTTGCCTTAATTGTTCGTCTAGGTAATATTGCGCCAACACTGAGTGATCCAGGAAGGCCCTCCATACCTGGTACGCTCCTTCCGTAACTCTCTGAAATCTGGTGGCCAGGCCA